CAATTTTGTTTTGCAGTGCTGAGAACCCACCAGGGGCTCCCTGCACGCTAGACAAGTGATCTGCTGCTGACCCGTGTTCCCGGTTGAAAAGTATAAAATGTTAAAATACATTTGAGTGTAAATTCTTTTTTGTGTGTATATATGTGTGTTTTTTAGGGAAGGGTCTACAGGGTGTTCAGGGTCTCACTGCTGAATCAGACTCAGTGATCCACCTGTTTACAGCCTCCCAAGAACTGGGATTATAGGCCTGCACCACCAAGCCCAGTCTCAATTACTGTCTCAGCGTGCCCGGGGCAGGGCTGGCACAGCAGGCCTGGGGATCAAACCCCTGGCCCCTAAACCTGCTTGCAGGTGCTTTAATCTACTGAGCTATTTGGCCAGCCCTGAGTGAAAATTCTTGATAGATGCGGCAAAATTGCGGTGCAGAAGGGTGCTGTCAGTGGACCTACTCAGCAGTAGAAAGCCTGGCAAGATGGGCTCAGAAACTTGCAGTTAATTTTTTAAGGCATTGGTTTTCCTCTGTGTCATCTAGTGCCTTCCTTTCTGATGTCATTCTTAGGCACAGGGTTGTGCCATAGGCCATCTAAAGAAAAGCCTTGGGTGACCCTGGAGAAAATATTTAGATAAGCAGTTGAGTATTGTTTCTAAATTTGAAGTTCAAAAAAATTTTTTTTGAAGTTCATAGTACAAGAAAAGGTCCAGGAGTGGGGTGTGGTGGCACAGGTCTGTAATCCCAGCCCTTGGGAGGCTGAAGCAGAAGAATCACTGTGAGTTCAAGGCGAACCTGGGCTGCATAAGCAAGTTCAGGGCCGGGCTGCACTACATTGTGAGACCCCGTCTCAAAGAAAACAAAACAAGAAAGAAATGACCCTGAAGCTAGACATGGTGGTGCAGGTTCATAATCCCAGCATTGTTGAGGCTGAGGCAGGAGGATCCACCTGGACAATTTAAAGACATCCTGACTCCAGAAAGGGGTGAAGGGGGGCTGGAGAGCAGATCAGTGCAAAGGTCTTGGATTCATTCCCCAGGAAAGAAGGAAGGAAGGAAGGAAGGAAGGAAGGAAGGAAGGAAGGAAGGAAGGAAGGAAGGAAGGAAGGAATAATTGTAAAATTATTCTTTTTTTACTAGTATGGTTGTGACATAATAATATTCGTCTTCATCTTGGGAACTGATACATAAACACATCCCGATCATTCTTACCTCCCTCTCACCTCTGCTCTCCCTCTCCCCTCTTCCTTCCCAAGATCTCCAGCCCATCTTCTCAAAATCTGCATCCTTGTTGCCTGCCATTTCTCTTTTAATTTGCTCTTTATATTTAGGGTCTCTCATATTTTTTTTAAAAAATGGATATTTAACATGTGTCTGATTTATTTGACTTGATATTACGGCCTCAAGAGTCACCCGTTTTCTACAAAGAACTCAGAGTTTCCCTCCTTTAGGGCTGAGTAGTGCTCTGCTGTGTACATGCACCATCTTCCTTATCATTCATCTTTTGATGGACACACGGGCTGTTTCTGTGATTTAGCTGTTGGGAGTGTGGGTATGTGTATTGGTCAGGGCTTTACTTAGAGGAACAGATAGACTATAAGGAATAGATATTAACACAAGGTATATAATGTATAAGGAATTACAAGATTGGCTTACGACAGTCAGCCACAGAGTCAGATGCGGGAGTGTGCAGAGGGTGTCTGCATACCACAGATTGAAGAATTCAGTCCCAAGGGCTGAAGCTCCCTGCTGTGCTCCATGCAAGTCTCTATTTATCAGCTGATGGATCTGCAGAGGAAGACTGAAGAGTCTGCGACTGAAGGCGAAGGATCCAAACTGGAGGCCGAAGAGTGCGCTGCAAGCCAGGCGGTGAAATCCAAGCTGAATGCGAAGACTGAAGTTCCTCCAACGAAGTGGAACATTGACTACTTCCTCAGTCCCTTTATATGGTTTCTTTGTGCTGAGTCACTCTGGGAGCAGAACCAATTGTGCCCCAGGGTGGAACCCCTACCAGCCAGAACTGTGCCTTGGGCCAAGTTGACACAATGTACCGAACACTACAATATGCATGTATCACTGTGATATGAAGGCTTTAACTCTTTCCAGAAGATACTCAGGTATAGCTGGGTCAAATGAAGTTTTCATTTCTGGTTGTTTTGAGGACTTTCCACTTCTTTTTATTTTAAATGTATTTAGTACAGAGTCTACAGGGTCTCACTACACAGATCGGACTCATAAGGATCCTCCTGTTTTGAGCCCCACAAGCGCTGGGCTTACAGGTGCATGCCACCACTCTCAGTCTCAACTTCAGTCTCAGTGCGCCCTGGGAGTGGGGCCAGCATGACAAGCAGGGGATTGAACCCCCTGTCAATGTGTCTGCCTAAGCAGGCACTTTGATCTGCTGAGCTATCTGGCCAGCCCAAGGACTCTCCATTCTGATTTCCATAGTGGTTGTACTAGCTTACATTCCCACCAACAATAAAGAAGGGCTCCTTTTATCCTACACCTTGCCAGCATTTGTTTTTTGAGTTATTGGGAACCTTTCTTTTTTCTTTTTTTGCGGTACCGAGGATTGAACTCAGGACCCCGCGCTTGCCAGGCAAGCGCTTGTTCTACTGAGCTATCTCCCCGGCCCTTGGGAGACTTTTTTACCGAGTAAGGCAGAATCTCCACGTCATTTTGATTTGCATTTCCACTAACGGGCAAAGATGCTGAGCATTTTTTATGTACTGATTAGCCACTTGTATGTCTTCTGAAAAGTGTCTGTTCGTTTTAATTGCCCAGTTCTTGATTGAATCTTTTATTCTTTTGTTTTTTTTAAGTATTCAATTTATTATATGGCTACAAAAATCAAAACTGTGTGGTATTGGCAGAGTGGTAGTTATATAGATCAAGGGAACATTAAAGAGGCCCAAAGTAGACCCACAAATATATACTCATAAAGGAAAAGTAATCTTTTTAAACAAATGGTGCTAGATTAATTCTATAAGCAAAAAAATTAGTTTTGATCACCTTATGTAAAAAACTTTTTTCCCCATAGTTCTATTGATACACAAATAGCAATGAGACAGTTTCAAACCAAATTGGTAGGACAGCTTCAATAATTAACACACTGCATACATTCTTCCTAGTGGCTATTTGCTGTACAAGATGCAGACATGACATCCCATCCACAAACTCTACTAGAACAAATCCCTCCACTCACCAAGAGAATGCAACTATACACCCATCCTAACCATTTTGAATACACAAAAAAAACTACTTCTATACCATGGACAAAAATGTAAAACATAAAAATTACAGAAATAAATTACCAGGATACAGGGTAGGCAAAGAATTCCAGGAGTTGACATGGTCCATAATAGAAAAAAAATTGATTAAAAAGTTCATTAAAATTAAAACTTTCATCCTCCAAAAGACTTTAAGGATGAAAAGATAAGTTATAGAGTGGGAATAAATAGCTGCAAATCACATATCCGGCAAAGGACTAGTAGCTCAACTGTACAAAAAGCTCTCAAAATTCTATAAGAAAAGGACAAACAACCCAACCAGAATAGGTAAAATATTTGAATAGGACTGTTGCTAAAGAAGATATATCAGAAAGTAAATACAGACTTACAAAGATGTTCAATATTAACCATTAGGGAATTTAAAAACAAATTTTTTTTGAGATAGGTATAGTTCTCCCTGTATCCTTCAGGGTGGCCTTGAACTCACTATGTAGCCCTGGCTGTCCTGGAATGTATGGCGATTCTCCTGCCTCAGCCTCCCACACTGATGGGATTACAGGCATGTGCCAGCATGCCTGGCTAAGAGGACTTATAATGATATGTTTCTGAAACCTATTAGAATGACAAAACAAAAACCCAATGGTAATATGACCAAATGCTGGTGAGGATGTGGAGAAAATGGATTATTCATCCACTACTGCTGGTGGGAATGTAAAATGGTATGGCCATTCTGGAAAACAGTTTGGCAGTTTCCTACCAAAAAAAAAAAAAAGAAGAAGAAGAAGAAAGAAAGAAAAGTAAACTACCACATGACCCAGAAATTACACTCCTGGACAGCTATCCCAAAGAAATGAAAACATCCTTATAAAAAAACCTATACATAAATGTTTACAATATCTTTACTTGGAAGTGCTCCAAGGTGGAAATAACACAGATGTTCTTTCACAGGTAAATGGTTGAACTGTAGTTCAGTTGTGCTATAGAATATTAGTTGATATGCTGTTATGTTGAGCTGTAGGGGACTCAGGTCAACAATTTCAGACACTGCCAGTCAAGTGGAAGACCCAACACTATTATGGACCACTGGACACCTCTGGAATACTTTGCTGAGTTAACATACCTATAATATTCAAATGATGGAACTAAACAAAAAAGGGGATACAGATGAATGTCCATTCTGCATCTGTGTAGGCAAAATGGCCAGGACAGATACACAGTTACATTCTCCCAATGAATAGAGGGATTTGTTCCAACAGTGTCTGCAAATAGGATATCATGTCCGTATCCTGCACAGCAAACAACCACCAGGAAGAGAGTTTGCAATGTGCCAACCATTGAAACTGTCCCACCAATTCGGTCCAAAACTGTCTCATTGCCATTTGTTTCTCAATAAAACTATGGGGAAAAAAAGATTATTATTTGATAATATAATGGGACAAACTAGTGATACAGGTGACAGCTTGAATGATTCTTGCTGAGTAATAAATGCCAGTACAAAAGGTTGCGTAGTATGTGATTCCATCTGTGTAAGATTTATGACCAACAAAATGATAGAAATAAAAAACATATTAGTTTAAAAAAAGAAACCCAAAACATATTAGAAGGGCCAGCCTGATAACTCAGCAGACTAAAGCACTTGCTTAGGCAGAGTGCAGCAGCCGAGGTTCAACTCCCGTTGTGCTGAGACCGTGACTGAGACTGGGCGTGGTGGCGTGCTCCTATAATCCCAGCCTGGGAGGCTGAAAACAGGAGAATCACTGAGTCCGATGTATGTAGTGAGACGCTGTAGACCTGTCCAGTGTCCAGTCTTGACTTGACATGCTGATATTTCGGGCTCTGTGGTATCCTTTTGGTCAAATACTCATAGAACTAGAGAAAACATTCATATCATTCTTTTGGAATCCGAAGAGACCTCAGGATTCCCAATGTGTCTCCGGACAGACATAGTTTCTCCAACCGACCACGCTCGGGGTTCTAGCCTCCTTTTACTCTTTTAAGGTCTAA